GAAGCAGGAAGGAGGGCGGGTAGTAGAGCACCCACAGGTACACACATCTCGAAGAATAGTCATTACTGCACCAAGGCGAGTAACTTCCTCTTCTTTGAGTGATGTCCCTGTGGGTGCTTCACTATAAGTAACTACATAGCAGTGCCCAGAGAGTAATGAAGGCGGCTTCAAAGTTAAGGTTTTACCGCTGTTGATAGCACTGCGAAGGCAACTGCTGAGTCACTAATGAAGTTGTTAGGAATAGCATAATGCTTTGCAAAGATGTAGTTAGAGGACCCCGTGGCTGCTCGACAGATGTCCCATAGAGAAATTCCCTTGAGAAAAGCTGTAGATGCTGCTACTGCTCTGGTAGAATGGGCTCTTGGTACGTCTGGTAAAGGTTTGGTTTGTAACAAATAGCTACACACTGTGCACTGAACAGTGAGTTTGGAAATGCACTGTGCAGAGACTTGCCTTTAGAACGATCAGCTATCGAGATCAAAAGTTGTTGAGATTTCCAAAACAGTCGTGTCCTATCAATGTAGAAGGCCGGTACCCTGCGCACATTCTAGTGTGTGAAGTCTGGCATCCTTTTGGGAGCAGTGTGGGTTGGGGTAGAAAGAAGAAGTTACTCACCTTCGTGCAGTAACGATGGTTCTTCGAGATGGGTCCCTGTGAGTGCTCCAGTCATGGTGTCGGGCTCATCCCGGCACCACAGCTCAGAGACTTTACATAGCTGTATTCAGCCGGGTCACACATGTGTGGTGTGCAGCACACGACATTTACGCTCTTTGATCTTCATGCGCACCTGGCTTACCTGTCAGTTCCTCTCACCATTCGGCATCTGTAAGGACACAAAAAGAAACAACTCCAGAATGGGGAGGAAGGGTGGGATGTGGAGCACCCACAGGGATCCATCTGGAAGAACTATCGTTACTGCACGAAGGTGAGTAACAACTTATTCATTGAGTGGTCCCTGTGGGTGCTTCGTAGCAGTACTCGCATTGCATTCCTGGAGTTCAGGCTTGTCAATGACTGAAAGTACTGCTGAGGTCACCAGGGACTCGGGCATCCACCGCCGCACTACTGCGTAGTGGTTCATAAAGGTCAAGCTTGAGGACCATGTGGCTGCCCTGCAGATTTCCGGCAGTGAGTCTCCTCTGATAAATGCCATGGATGTTGCCACTGCCCTGGTGGAGTGTGCCCTAGGTAGAATCCGAAGGGGCTTTTTGCTGATTGAGTGACACAAGGTGATGCAAGAGACTATGATGTTGGACAGACACTGAGAAGAAAATGGACTGCACTTGGAATGGTCCACTATGGATACTATTAGGTGGTCGGTCTTGCGCCAGGTCCGTGTTCTGTCTATATAGAATGCTATAGCTCGATGTACATCAAGGGTATGGAGCAGCGAGTCTCGAGTAGAGGCATGCGGCTTCGGGTAAAAGACAGGTAAATTGATGGGTTCATTGACATGAAATTGTGTCGCGACTTTAGGGATAAAGGCTGGATGGGTACGCAGTGTGACTGAGTCCTTGTTGAAAACTATGAAAGGTGGCGTTGCCATTAATGCCACCAATTCACTAACCCTACAATTCACTAACACTAACCCTATTGGTGGATATAATTGCCAATAAGAATACCACTTTCATGTTGAGCATAGATAATGACGTGATGACTAGTGGCTCAAAGGGTGGGTACATTAACACGTCGAGGACCAAATCCAAGCTCCAAGTTGGAGGCACGGGTCTTCGCGGGGGCTTTAGATTTGTTATTCCCTTAAGCAACCTCTTGGTCATGGGACGAGCAAATGACCTTCAGTGGTGGCATAGAAGGTGGTGGAAATATTATCACATCCCTACACTGTAGGTGAGCAGCTATTACTGCCAGGGTTTTTGAAAACACCCTGAGAGCCGATGCGAGTCTAAATGGTCGCACTTGGTATTGGAAATGATCATTTCTGATGGTGAAATGGAGAAAACGTCTGTGAGCTGGATGTATCGCTATGTGAAAATATGTCTTGCAAGTCGAGGACTGCAAACTAATCGTCCTTCTCTAGTGACGGTATTATTTTGGAAAGGGTCACCATCTTGAACCTTTGGCAGCAGAGGTATTTGTTCAGCTTCCTGAGGTCGAGGATAGGCCTCCATCCTCCAGTCTTTTCCTTCAACAGGGTCTCGTGAGCAGGGTGCCTGAAGAAGGATGGGGTTGGTGGATTTGTGGGTGGTGAAGGGGATGGTGAGCCCAGATACCACAAGTTGTAATACCCAGTGGTTTGATGTAATCACTGCTCACTGATCTTGAAAAGGTCAAAGTCGATGGTGGAAGAAAAGGTGAGTGACTTGTTGATCCGTCACCGTAAGGACCTGTTGCATGCCCTTGACCGAACCATCAAACTTGCTGCTTGGAGTTTTGTTGATTGCCCATATGGGATGGTTGAGGCCATCTATATTGCAGGTCTATGGGCCGCTGCTGCTGCTGTTGTCTTTGATGGGGTAATCGTACCTCCCCTGGTATGGGTAGTATCTCTTGAGTCGAAAGGGGTGTGTGCACATCCCCAGGGTGCGGAACTTAAAAAACATTTCCGGCGTGGAGGACCTCATCCGTCTTTTCTGCGAACAACTTGTTTTTGTCAAAAGGGAGATTTTCCACTTTCATGTGAAGCTCCTTTGGAACTGCTGCGGAAGTAAGCCAAGAAGAATGCCTCATTGCTATCGCAGTTGTAGTCGTGTGGGCTGCTGTGTCTGCCACAACCAGCGAGATCTGCAAACTTGCTCGTGCCACCACAAAACCCTCTTGCACAAAAGACTTTAAGAGGGGACACTTGCTTTCTGGCAGGTATTGAAGAAGCTGTGCTATCTTTTCAGAATTGTCAAAGTTGTGATTTGATTACAAGGCAGCATAATTAGAAATACATAGGAGCAGGGTTGCCAAGGAGTATACTTTCTTGCCGAATATGTCTAGCTTTTTGACATCTGGTGTTGTCTTATACTGCAGTGTTTTGGCCTGCTGTTGTGCTGCGTCTACCACCAGTGAATTCGGCTGTGGGTGGTTAAAGAGGAATTCTAGATTCTTGGAAAGGACAAAATATTTCTTGTCCGCTCTCCCGCAGGTTGATGGCACCGAAGCTGGTGTCTGCCAGATGATGTCTGCCGCTTCAATAATAGCTTCAACAATAGGGATGCAACTTTCGCGCTCTGCCTTCGGTGCAAATTTTTCAGCAGTCAATGCTGTTTCGTTTGCACTTCTGTTAGCTGGATTTCCTGGGACTGAGCCGCACGCTTGAAGAGGTCCTGGAACTGTTTAAAATCGTCCGGTGGAGACGTGTCCGCTGGGAAAACTGCCTCACCGGTGCAGAGGATGAGCAGCCAGGAATTGGATTTTCAGTCTGTTGGTCCTCCGCTTCCAACAATTGTCCGTCTTCCAGGTCCAACTTTTGTGTTGTGACGCCTGGGCTGAGCATTGGAGAAGTCAGGTGACGACTATGGTGTTGCTGTGGTGGAGACTGCCCTGCTGTCAGTGAGTTGTCGCGTGAGGGTTGTTGGTGCTGTCATGTTCTCAGATTCTAAAGAGCTCTGCCGCACCCATGTGCCCCAAAGGTCTATAAAAAGGGGGCCATGTGAGATGTCACATGAAAGCTTATGTTCTACTGATTTGTATATGCTATTCATGTACTTCTATGATATTTGTAGGTGGAGTTATAAACATGGACTCTGTAGGGATGCTGGAAAATTCTCTGTCTGAGGCAGAGCAATGGGCAAGGAATGTTCAGCCCATGGCTATGCTAATTAGTGAGGCTCCAGTGACAACAGATCTCTAAGTGCCAGAGACACACCTGGGGAATGTCTTGATATCTGCAAGCCAGCCAGGATAATGTTTGTTGACTTGGGACACAGGGATAGGTCAATGGACCATGTGACCTGCAGTGACCTGTTCTGGCCAGGAAGATGCCAAGAGAAGTACATAAGTGCCATGTGGCACCCTCCATCTTGGTCTTCAGTATTGCTTCTGATCTCAGATGCAGCCTTGCAGGGAACAATGAGCCGGAAAGAACCATGGACCCATCCTGACATAAGATGAACACCAGAGACTTTTAAGATAGCAGTTTATAACATCTCTGCTAAGAGCCTGCTTCGAGAACTGGGAGATTCAATGCATGTAATGTATTATTCTTCAACAACCTTACGCTCACGCTTTTCTTTCTTTTAGTAATAAACCTTTAGATTTTAGATTCTAAAAGATTGGCTCAGTGTGATCTTGTAGGTAAGATTCAGAGTATAAATTGACCTGGGATCTGTGGCTGGTTTCTTGGGACTGGAAGAACCCATTTGGGGTAGGTAAGATTGGGTTCTATAACCCATCACCTGTGTGTTAGGCCCAGGGCTGACTGGGACACAGGAAGAGCTGGGGTGCCAGAGGGATTTTGTTTGTGAGGCTTCTGGCTGGCCAGGTAGGCAGCTGAAGCACTCTGACTGGTTTGTGGCCTATTTGGGAAGGGCCTCCAATCAGGCGTTGTAAAGAGCCCTGAGTTTGAGCAATTCACCCTGAGCGGACGCCCTCAGCTGTGCGCAGACCCGGCCCGATCCGTCACAGATGCACACGGTGATGGGAGTGTGAACAAGACGAGTACGGAGAACCATGGCAATGATCATAATATCAATCCGATGGGTGAGGTGACGAACACCTGGATGATCTACAACTGGTATGTCACCTCTTGTAGCTGGCAAATGGAGAATAGTGATAGCGTGGTGACCGTCTGTATGGTGGAGAGTAGGATTGGTGCCTGTAGTAGACACTGTAGCGTGGGTGTCCATGTGGGGAATAGTGTCTGTGATAGAACTTCTGTCTTGGGCTGTGGTGCCGGTAGGCACGGCGCAGAGGTGACACATACATTGGGGGAGAAGGGGAAGGACTTGGTGAAAATCTTGGAGAAGGGAAGTGGGGAGTCCCCTGTCTCTGCATTTTAGCAGATGCCTTCTCCAGAGGCTCTGCTCGTATCAATGCCGGCTCCAGCTCCTGCTCTAGTGTCGGTGTTTGAGTAAGTTGCGGAACCGCTGTATTTGCCGGTGCCGGGGCTGTTTGTAATGTGGGAGTACCACATGGCACTGGCAGTGGAGCTTGCTGTGTTGACAGTGCTGGAAGAGTTCCCTCTGGTCTTGCTGCTGTCCGTGTGGGTAGCTGCTGCTTTGGTGCCGCTTGCAGAACTTAATAGAGTGGTGCTTGTAGTGCGGGAGCCGCTTGTCGGCACCACGGCTGCTTTTGGCGCCAAAGAGGCTCTTTTGGACGCCGCAGCCTTCTTCAGTTTTGTCCCCGACCCAGGTACTGAGGGTTGCGGGACAGAGCCAGAGGACCCTGGCTTATCTCCCGACGTCCTCTTAGGCAGGAGCGATCTGGCAGGGGAGATCTTTTATCTGCCAGCAGTTCAGGGGAAGAGACCCTTCTCTTCTGGGTCCCCCCAAGTTGTCCAGCATTCACAGTATCAGGGTCCAGCACCTTGTCCAGAAGGAGCATCTTGAGGTGCATTTACCTGTCTCAATGAGTGCGGGCTGTCATTTTTGAGCAGTGCCTGCATTTTTGGGGAATGTGGTTGTCCCCTAAACAGCATATACACTCTGGGTATGTCTACACTACCACCCTAGTTCGAACTAGGGTGGTAATGTAGGCAACCGGAGTTGCAAATGAAGCCCGGGATGTGAATTTCCCGGGCTTCATTTGCATCTTGCCGGGCGCCGCCATTTTTAAATGTCCGCTAGTGCGGACTCCGTGCCGCGCGGCTACACGCGGCACGGACTAGGTAGTTCGGACTAGGCTTCCTCTTCCGAACTACCGTTACTCCTCGTGGAATGAGGAGTAACCATAGTTCGGAATAGGAAGCCTAATCCGAACTACCTAGTCCGTGCCACGTCTAGCCGCGCGGCACGGAGTCCGCACTAGCGGACATTTAAAAATGGCGGCGCCCGGCAAGATGCAAATGAAGCCCGGGAAACTCAAATCCCTGGCTTCATTTGCAACTCCGGTTGCCTACATTACCACCCTAGTTTGAACTAGGGTGGTAGTGTAGACATACCCTTTGAATGCCCATCCGAAACTGGCATGAGCTCACCGCATAGGGCACACTTCTTAAAGCCTGGAGATCCAGCCATGACTGGCTTAAAGTTTTTCTGTTAAATTCCATGAGCTTCAAGAAAGTGCTAACAAATCTCTTTTCTTCTTTTTTTTTTTTTGTAGATAAGAGAACAGTGAACAAAAGGGATAGCTATTTACAATTAACTAATTATAGATCCCCTGAGGGGAAGGAGAATTGCTGAAGGGATGAGAGAATAGAAGCTCCGTCTGTGGCCAGGGATGGTTGAGAGGAACTGACAGGTAAGCTGGGTGCGTGCGAAGTTCAAAAAGCACGAATGTTGCATGCTGCACACTGTGCACGCGTGACCCAGCTGAATACAGCTATGCAAAGCCTCCAAGCTGCGGTGCCAGGATGAGCCCGACACCATGCGTGGAGCACCCACTGGGACCGCTCAAAGAAGTTGGTAGGATGTTAGTCGGAGTTTATTTTTGGCACAAACGATTGTTGGGGTCAGAGTATAACCCCTTGGCTTGTAAATATTGTGTAAGAAGGTGTGGCAGAGAGGGCGGCGAGCTCCCCCACCTGTCGTGCAGATGTTATAGCTAACAAAAAACCAATCTTGGTGATTAATAGCGACAGAGGACAGGTCACGAAGGGAGGTTGCGTTAGGGCATCCAAGACAAGTCCTAAGTTCCATGGGTGAGGCAGATCTCTGCGTGGTGGGTAAAGGTTTGCCACCCCTTTCATGATCCTCCTGGACAATGGGTGAGCGAATATAGAATACCCGTCTATTGGCAGTCAGAAGGCGGTGAGCGCAGCAAGTTGAACCTTGAGAGAAGACAGCACTAGACCAGAATGCTTTAAATGCAGGATATAATCAAGAATGCGATGGATGGGGGCCAAGGTCGGATCCAGACTATTGTGTGTGCACCAGGAACAAAACCTGCACCATTTGTGCAGGTAAGTAGTCTGAGTGGTGGACCTTCTGCTTTGGATCAGGGCATGTTTCACCTGCTGGGAACAGAGCATTTCTGAGACTCAGAACCAACTAAGAACCACACTGTGAGGTGAAGGTGGTCGGGTTGAGGGTGCACTAGCGTTCCTGGATGCTGGGTCAACAGGTTGTGGTGTCTGGGTAGGCGACATGCAAAGAAGGTAGGGCAGCAATGTCAGACACAGCCAAAAGGGGGTTCTGAGGGTTACCATTGTGTTGTCCCTGGAGATCTTTTCTACGACTCTCGGTATCATGAGAGTCAGGGGAAAGGCATACAACAGGTGTGTGCCCCAGTCAAGGAGGAATGCATCCCCCAGGGACACTGGACCAATGCCCGCTCTGGAACAGTAATAGTGGCACTTCGCATTCTGGTGTGTGGCAAATAGGTCTGTAGCTGGGAACCCCCAGAGGGAGAAGACTCTGTGTAGCACCTGGGAATATAGTTTCCATTTGTGGTTCGTAACAAAATATCTGCTGAGCATTTTGGCAGTGATGTTGTCCTTGCCAGGTAGGTATGATGCTAAAATTGTGATGGCGTGGCGGATACACCTGTTCCATAGGTGTATTGCCTCTGCACAGAGGGAACGCGACCAAGCCCCTCCCTGATTATTTATGTAGAAAACTGTGTTCATGTTGTCAGTAAGCACCCTGATAGCGCGACCTCAGGTAAAGGTGAGAAAGAGCTTGCATGCATTGAAAACCGCTCTCAATTCTAGGAGATTGATATGGAGGGAGGCTTCTTGTATCGCCCACCAGCTCTGAACGTGATGACTGTTGAGATGTGCTCCCCAGCTCATCAAGGATGCGGCGGTGGTAATTTGTATTGTGGGTTGGGGTCAATGGAAGGGTACACCTGCTAACATGTTGGCAGGGACAGTCCGCCAACTCAAAGAGTTTACCACTCTTGTTGGTATAGCGCAGGGGTGGCCAACCCATTAGAGACAAAGAGCCAAAATAGTGGTGGATAGAGTGTGAAGAGCCACATACCGGGGGAGAAAGTTGTTAAGCAAAAAAAAAAAAAGCCACACCAGGGGAAAACAGATGCCGGTACACCATGCCAGGGCATACGGTCACAAAAAAAGAGGAAGGAGTAAGAGGGGCAAGCTCTGGAGCTCTGGGAGGAATTTGGGGGCAGGAGGAAGTAGAGAAGAGGA